CCCTTGGTAACCCGGGCGACGACCGAGCCGGTATAATTTTCGAAGGCGTCAATACCATGAGTGGCAGGTGTCTGAATTTTGCGGAGACTTGCCATGGTCTCCAACCCTCCTTCTTTCTCATCCGGGCTTGAGACCGGCCATGGCGGAGCTATGATGCTATAATGTATTAATTTTTTTAGACCTTTCATACACAATACTGAAATTATATTTAGCGTTGCGGGTTGATTTAAATTTTACGATTTATAATATTATTAACGAACTTAACAGGATAATCATTTTTATGACACAAGCTTGTCATAATCTTTAATTTTTTGAGAAATTCGTTGCTAAACAGTTTAAAAGTTCCGTCTATTGAAACTACTATTAAAAATGTTTTGTTATGTAGAGGATTGTATGAGTTGAAGTAATGGTATCACTGTTAGTAGATACCAAAGCTAACTATTGGGACATGCATTTCCATATTATCAGTTGTTTTTTTTCGAATGGCTGGCTTTGTATTTTGAAGGAAAAGGCTATTGGGAAGGTTTATATGGCAAATATACCGCGGTTCGTATCCATTGAATGTCACTCGGAGCACACACCCGGGAACTCCTGTATTTCATTTAAACGGTCTGTAATTAGTTTTTTATAATGCAGGTTATATGAACGCAACTACTGTAGTATAGATGTTGTGCGCGTGTAGCTGAAGAGGTCTTGAAGGATTTGATTCTAGTTTGAATGTAGAATAGCGAGTTATATTTTTGGCCTGATATGACAGCAGAGAATTTTAGCATTTGTTTTTGCAAAATATGACTTACTTCAAAATGGCGACCCTTTTGGTCAACAATATTATCGTTGGGTGTTCGGACTACATCTGGCTATTCGGACTCTACATTTGGCTATTCCTGTTGGTTCAGTGTCGAATAAAAATAAAGTTTTAAACTCTGTATTCGCTTGTAATAGGTGTAATTAAAAGATTTCTGTCTTGTGTGTTTTATACGCTGCTAGGTAGGCGGCTATAATAGCTTAGTCCATAGTACGTAGTTCTAGTTTCACTGTTATTAATGTTTTTTTACTTTAATTTCCGAACATATTGATGCCCTAGAGACACTAACTGAAATTATTCAAATGTCATAGCCTTCTAGCAGCGAGATATTTATAGATGATGCGTCAGAAGTACCATGGCATATATCTCACAAGCAGGCGTTTTTTCAATTGTGGTCATAGCTGTTATCACATTATTCGATATGTATTCATTCCAAAGCAGGATGTAGCTCTTTTCATTGCATTCTATGAACTCTCTTGGCATCATACTGAAACGGATTTACTATTCTCAGTAATTTTAAGAAAAATAGTCCAGAAAATAAGTACTGTGATCGTACCGCGTATCCAACTTTCCACAGAGTGAATATACAGATGGAGGAGAATAGAGGCAACGATTTTGTGACTGTTGCTTATTTCCAAAAATCTTCGAATAGCGTGCTACATTATTCTCTTCTTATGGAAGTAATGACGCCGTCGAAACATACAAAATGATGGGCTTTATCGGAACTCGTATGACAACTTGACAAAATATGGAAATTGAAGCAAGGAAGACAGTGCATGCTGAAGTTCATAATAAGGCATCTGATCAGCTGACTACACCATAAGTGTCGTATCAGCTATGGACTAAGTGAAATAATTCATAATTTGGACGATTCAAGGAGAATGTGCAAGTCATTAGTAAGGAGAGACCGCTTTTATTTACCGGGAAAACGTTAGAACTGTATACTACATGAACTGCATCTGTATACACTGGGAGACAGGAAAGAAGTTAATGCTCAGGATTTCTTTAGTCCCATATATTTTCTGTGTCGTATCACTGTTCACAGGTGATCGTCACAGTACCTACCACACGGATAG